GATGCAACAGCACCAGTCCCAATCACTAGCTTTACCTTTACAGGCTCAGACATCTGCAATGACTGAGGCTAATGCCCAGGGGCTGGCAGCCCAGGGCCGAGGAACCCCAAGATCATCGGGGAGAGGGACTTGCAGGGTGTAGGGGGTAATTTCCCACCCCCCCCCCCAGCCGTTTGGCGGGGGGATTGTTGTAAGCAGTCCTTCTTAAAGTGTCTCTCTTGCAAGTCCCTCTCTCTGATGATCAACCCAACAGGTGACCTGGACAGTGATCAGCGCTGACAATGCAGAAATCATCAATAGACCACAAGAGAAGATGTACCTTTAACCTGGAGGCCTGACCTTCATTTTGATTACCACCCTATGTCATTATGTATGGACCATTTAATATTTCTGTAGGAGCAACTTATTTTGTGTTACTTGCTCTAATTGTTCTTTTACTACTTGCTTGTACAACCACCTTTTGTTATGCTTTCCTGTAAACATGTCTAAAATCTGCTCCAGAACAACCCCCACCTCTGGACTCTGAAGTGGTAAAGACTGCTCTCCCATCCCTGGCTAATGCTAAAGGACTGCTAATGACATTGCTTGGCCTGGGAACGCTTTTGCTAATTGTTTTCTATGCCTTACTTGCTTTATACGTGCACTGCAAAACTCTTATGAGCTTAGCCAGCCAGTTACATAAGATCAAGCTCCAAGTGAATAAATTTCCCCCGATAGGGATCGCAGCCAGAGATGGATAAGAGGGGGTGTCAGTCTGGCCAACCTAAGACAGGGCCTTCAGCTTCGCTCTGAAGAAGTTCCCGATGACAGATCAGGCAGACAAGGCGATCCATCCAACCTAAGATAGGCGGGTTCGCTTCCTTAAACAAAGACAGGGGAGATGCTGGGAGCCATTTGGAGCTTAAAGTAAAGCTCAAAGTCATCTTGACCCCTGTGCTCACTTAAAGGCACGTACAAGGAACTGGCTTACTTAAAAGACACCAGGTGACCAGTATTGCTCTGCTATGTCTGCAATTGGTTTTAAATTTTCCTTATTTTTCTGCACTATAGTAGAATGGCAGTGTGGGCACCCACGAGGATGCACCATGCCGCATGTGTGGAATTCCCAATACCCAGGGTTCTCCCAGGTTCTGAAGAGGATGACCTTACGAGATACTGACTTTTATATATGCCCAGGAATTAATTGAACTGCTTTGGACATTTCTAACTGTCGTGGGATTGATGTTTATTATTGTCCTAGATGGGGATGTGAGGTAACTGGGACGGCCTCTTGGCTCATGCACAAGGGCCCTCCTTATCCTTGTCTGGTGAATCTCAACACCCAGACTTGCCTCAAACCCCCTGCATGGCCAATGCTATCCTTACCAATGGAATCCTTTTAAAATAACCTTTACAGCAGAGGGGAAAAGATAACTAACTTGGAGGTGGGTCTGCCATTAAAACAAAAAAGAGGGAATCTATAGAGCACATGGGCAGCAAAGATGACACTGAAGGGGAGTGGAGTGGGCAGAGCCCGATTTGCTTTACAGTAAGTAATCAGACCATGGAAGCTTAGGTGCATGATAGGGTGTGACCTTGACAGTGATTGGTTCCTCTTCCTCCCCTCCCATGCCACCCACTCTTTGTTGCTTTAAAAACGGCTTGCTCTGTGTTAATAAACGAGTTTCCCTGCTTGAGTTGACTCCCTGCTGCATCTGATTGTCTCCCAGGATGAGGGAGGCTGGGGAACGTGCGAGTGGCTGCACTTACCTTTCCTAGGACCCTGTCCATCTTTTGTGGGATGAATGAAGACCCGACAACATGGTAGGTGGGATTCTAACACAGCTAGCCACAACTCCTACTCTATCCAAATAGGTATTCAGCTTATGAATGGATGAATATTGTGCCCCACCCCCACTCCGGGGCTCAATCTCAAGTCCCGGGAACCCCCTAGCTCCTTAGTTGCTCACAGGCTGGTATCCTCACCTAGACCCTTTCGCCAATTGGGCCTGCTAAGCTCTGAGTTCAAATCCCAATACAGCCAAAAGATGAAACCTAATGTGAGAAGCCCATCGATCCACCTGTTTTCCTGTCCTGTGAATGTCCTGGGTCTCAGGGAGGATGGAGAATTCTAAATAGGCAACTCTATAACCATAGGAAAAATTTGTTATCTGTGTCAGCCCAGTTATGTCTGTCATCATACTCAATAAAACACAAATGCATCCATGACTAAGACACACAATAAAAAGAGTAACTACACTGAACTCATGATGCATTCCATACATATATGTAAATAGAGATCCTATGTGTAAAATAGGTGGGTACATTAATTTTTCCAGTGCTGGGGCTTCAATTCAGGACCTGTGACCTGGCCTGATATTGTAGTCTTCAAGGATGGTGAGCTTCCATTTCCCCCAGAGTGTTATAGATTTACCCAGAACTGAGTTGGAATCCCAGCTGTGGCAGAAAAATGGTGCGAGTTCTGAGCCAGGTTTTATTATTATTATTATTATTCCCAAGGAAAGGATTTGAACTCAGTTTGTGGTAACTCTGCCTCAGCTTCAATCACCTCAGGGTGGTGCGCTGCCATGGGCCCATTGCCGATCCTGGGATACTAGGCCCTGAAGTCTTGCAGGAAAACACACACACACACACACAAACACACACACACACACAGAGTATGATATATATATATATATATGTATGTATGTATATATATATATGTATATATATATATATATATATATATATATATATATATATATATATATATATATATATATGGAGAGAGAAAGAGAGAGAGAGAGAGGAAAGCCGCGGGATGAATTTTTACATTTTGTTCCTTTCCAAGGTGACCATCCTGGGTCTTAATAACATGCCTACAAAGAGTACTTCACCTTGCATTGGTGAAGGATAGTGGGCTATTGAGGAAGCCATAGGCCCATGCAGCAATGTAGGCCCTGAGTTCGAGTCCTGGTCCTGACACCTACCAATATGTGGAATTCCCAAGATACTCGTTCTTATGCATCGAAATACCAATGGAACGTGAGCAAACTCATGATTAAATGAGAAGTTTCTGAGTGCATCAATGTCTAGTCTAAAATTAGATGCAATGATACTAGGACGCTGATTGATCTTAATGAATAGTCTATTAAGCATGAAAAGAATCCTATTCCTTCAGTGGTGGCATAATAACTACCTAAGAGTTGGTAGGAAAGTAGTTGATATACTTGAATCCTAGGCAGATGTCTCTGGTACTCTATACAAATATATATTTATTGGTATACTACCAGCTGCCTATCCATGTATGGCTATTTTGTCCAGTGCTGTGGCTCAATTACATGGTCTGGGAACTGCCTGGCAGCTTCGTGGGCTAGAGGTTGCCATGTTGACACACCCATTCATGAATTGGGTCTGCTAGGCCCTGAGTTCAGGTCCCAGCACTGCCAACAACTGGATCGTGGAGTAAGAAGTGGAGTATAACACCTGTTTTCTTTTTCTCTGAGTGTCCTGGGTGTAATACATGAAGGAGAAAATGTATACAAATCTAGATATATGTGATATAATGTCATCAATATAATAAATGGAATGTCTGTTATCACAGTCAATAAAATAAGTGGTAAATAAATGAATAAAACAGAAATACAATAAATAACCACAACAAACAAGATATGGACTGAACATCTATAGGTAGGTACAAATCCTATCTTTACAATGTATATAAATAGTGTGTTTCCAAGGGCTGGGTCATGAATTCAGGCATAGGGAGCAGGCCTGACTTTCTTGTCCTCAAGCATGGTGAGCTTCCCTTTCATCCACAGTGCTGCAGAGTTACCCAGACCCTAAATTCAAATCCAAAGCCTTACAGATAAAACGGCAACAATTGCAAGCCAGGGAGTTTTTTTTGTTTTTGTTTTTTGGTTTTTTTTTTTTTTGCCAAGCAAGGTCTTGAACTCAAATCATGGCAACTCTGCCTCAGCTTCCATCACCCTAGGCTGGGGTGCAGCCACTGGAACAACAGACGATCCTGGGATCCTAGACCTCCAGGCCTTGCGGGGGGGGGGGGGGGGATGCACCGAAAATAAGTGGTGGGATGGTCTTTTTAGATTTTGCACCATGACCATCTGGGTCGGAATGACACAGCTCCAAAGGGTAATTCAACTTACATTGCTGAAGGCTGGTGGGCTATTGAGCTATTGGGCCATAGTCCTGCATGGCAATATAGGGCTAGAGTCGATTCCAAGTCATGTCACTTCTGGATGATGGGAGATCCTAAGAGACTCGTTCCAATTTATAAGAATAACGATGGAATGTTTTAAATGTCATAGTTAAATGAGTTGCTCGTGAATGATACTCGTATAAAATTAGACATCATGTTTCAGTCGTCTGGTTGATTTTATATAATATGAAACATTAAAAGAATACTCTTTTTTTTTTTTTGGTCGGTCGTGGGGCTTGAACTCTGGGCCTGGGCACTGTCCCTCAGCTCTTCAGCTCAAGGCGAGCGCTCTACCACTTGAGCTACAGCGCTACTTCTGGTTTTCTGGTGATTTATTGGAGATAGGAGTCTCACAGTCTTTCCTGCCCGGGGTTGGCTTTGAACTGTGATCATCAGATCTCAGCCTCCTGAGTAGCTAGGATTACAGGCGTGAGCCACCAGCGCCCGGCTAGAATACTCTTTCTTACAGGGATGCAATGATTTCAGGACACCGATTTTCTTAAGAGTTTATTTATTTATTTTTTATTGTGAAAATACTGTACAGAGGGGTTACAATTACACGGGAAAGATAATGAGTACATTTCTTATCAAGCATTGTAGCCTCTTCTTTTGTTTCCCCTTCCCTTTCATTCCCATCCTTCTCCTGTCTCCCAACTCAATCCTCCCCACCCCCCCTTCCCCACCTCACCCCCTCAACAAAGTTGTAAAATTAGTTTTCAACATAACGACTTGTACATCTCATTGAGGATGAAAACAATAACATTAATTACATGGAGGTATAATAATACCCAAGAATTGTTAGGAATGTAGTCTATATAACTGAATAATGGATAGACATCTCTGGCACTCTATAAAGATATATATTTATTAGCGTACTACCATCTGAGTGTCAATCTGTTCTTATTTTGTCAACCGCTGGGGCTCTATCTCAGGCCCTGGGAACTTCCTGTCAGCTCAATTTGCCCCAGGATGGCATGTTGACACTGACCCATTCATGAATTTGGTTCTGTAGGCCATGAGTTCAGATGCCAGAACTCCCAAACAATGAATCGTGGAGTAAAAAGCTGATGGTGACACATGTTTTCCTTTTCTGTGAAAGTCCTGGGTGTCACATTTGAAGTAGGATACATATGCACACCTATATCCTATGTAATCAACGTAATCAATGTTCTATGTGCCATAATAGACAATAAAATAAATAGTCAATACATGAACAAACAAAAAATAAAATGAATAAATATACTGAACTCAATATGTACATACATATGTCTGTAAATATAAATCATATATTTAAAATGTACGTGAATAGGATTGTATCTAGTGCAGAGGCTCGATTTCAGGCCTAAGGAACAGACTTGAATTTCTTGACTTCAAGGAGGCAAGCCTCTCCTTCCCACACAGTGAAACAGAGTTACCAAGAACATGAGTTCAAATCCCAGTCCTGGCAGAAAAATGGCATCTCTATGCAATATGACACCCAATTCTTAGGTATTTCATTCTGCCTCCATTTAATGAATGTGATTGTTTAAATGCTTAATAAAGTATTAACTAAAATCGATCAGTTTTGTATAATATAATTGTGTATAATTTTATACTGGAATCATTCAAGAACTGCCCATTAAATCATGACATACATCATATTCCATTGGTATTCATATGGATGAAATGAGTTTCTTAGGATCTCCTGCCATCTGGAAGTGGCAGGACCAAGATTCAAACTGTGGGCACCAGCTCCCACCACTTAAACCTGAGGATTGGGAACTCACTGGTCTGTCTAAGAACATCAGCAAGACCAATGATTAGCTAGGCACTACTGGCTGTCAGCAGTCCTCCTTGATACTTACAAGGCTGTGAAAGGAGGGTCATGTTCAAAGTCACCGTAGGCAGGAAAGTCCTTGAGACCACTGTCCAACTTAAGTGGCAACAAAGCCACAAGAAGAGACGTGTTGATGTTGGTATCATTTGTGGAGGGGAAGGGGAAAAACAAGTCGTTTAAATAAGGATACAGGTGGACCTGTTGCAACAATGAGAAGTACAAGTCTTTATGTCGAAAACGAACTTTACAACTTTGTTGGGAGTGGGCGGGGAGGATTGGGTGGGGGGGGGCGGGGGAGGATGGGAAGGGATGGGAATGGTAAACAAAAGAGGAGGCTACAATGCTTAATAAGAAATGTACTCATTATCTTGCCCATGTAATTGTAACCCCTCTGTACAGTATTTTCACAATAAAAAATAAATTAAAAAAAAAAAAAAAGAAGAGACGTGTGTCTCACACTAGCCTTGATCAAATGCAGCTCACAGACTGTGCCCAGATCCTGAGTTTAAGGTCCAAGACTGGCAACAAACAGACATACACAACAATTTGTGCAGCCATCCAGATAAAGCAGGTCACCCTTTTGTCCCCAACTGAATTGGACAGAGTTCCCTGGGAAAGGGTCTGGCGAAGCTGGTGTCATCTTTACTCCGCCCATGCTGCCTGCATCACAGGATTCCAGCCACAACCCCATTCTTTCATGGTTCTTTTTGACCAAATGGGATTCAAGAATGCTGGCCACGCCCACATTCCATGCTGCCCTGTAGCACCAGAATTCCCTCTGTTGGTTGACACCACTACTGGCCATTGAGGAAAGTAGAGGTAGCTGAGTGGTGAGCAAGAGATTCGAGGAAACTTTGGAATAGGTTAGGATATTGACGCCTAGTCACTGAGTGAGAGAAGAAAGGATTTCCCAGAGCCTGGGAATGTGGCCATCCCATCTTTCCCATCACAGCTCTCAGATGTCTGATACAACAAGATTCCGTGAGAGAGCTGAGGACAAGAACAACTACAAGAACACCAGCAGAAGAATACTCCCATCAGATCTGCAACATTCAACAAAACAAAGAACACGAAAAAGGGAGGGAAGCTCAAGACAAACATCATCTTATAAATATGATAGAAACAATTGAATAAAAGGAAAAAAAAACAAAAAAATTTGAATACTTATCTTGGGGTTCATTCCACTAATATCAACTTACCTGAACTTTTCTGCTTGACTCAGACATATACTAGATATTGCAAATAAGGGAAACTATGGGACCTATGTTTATTTGGGTCTGGCTTACTTCACATAATATAATTTTTTCCAAGTCTTTCCATTTTCTAACAAATGTGGCAATGTCATTCTTTCTGATGGAGGCATAAAATTCCATTGGGTATATATACCACGTTGTCTTGATCCATTCATCTACTGAGGGGCATCTGGGTTGGTTCCATAACTTAGCTATGGTAAAAAATGCTGCAATAAAAATAGTCGTGTTGGAAACTTTAGTTTGGTCTTGTTTGTGATCATTTGGGTAAATGCCCAAAAGTGGGATTGCCGGGTCATAAGGGAACTCTATGTGGAGTCTTTTGAGGAACCTCCATACTACTTTCCAAAGTGGTTGAACAAGTTTACACTCCCACCAACAATGAAGTAAGGTTCCCTTCTCTCCGTATTCCCTCCAGCAGCTGTTGTTATTAGAATTTTTGTTTATAACCATTTTAACTGGAATGAGGTGGTATATCATTGTTGTTTTGATTTGCATTTCTTTTATGGCTAGAGAGCTTGAGCATATTTTCATGTGTCTATTGGCCATCCTTCTTTCTCTTCAGAGAAGTTTCTCTTTAAGTCTTTAGCACAGTTATTTATTGGGCAATTGTTTGTTTGAAGATTTGTTTTGTGGGGATTTAAAATTTTAAGTTCCAGGTATATTTTAGATATGAGACCCTTGTCTGTTGTATGGCTAGTGAAAAATCTTCTCCCAATCCGTGGGCTTTCTATTGATTTTGCTAGCTTTATCCTTTGCCATGCAGAAGCTCTGAAATTTCATGCAATGTCAATTTTCCACCCTTTCTTTCATTTGTTGTGTTTGTGGGTCTCTATTAAAAAAATTTCGGCCTGCACCAAGGAGGCTTAGGGTTTCTCCTACTCCATTCTATAATGTTTTCAGAGTATCTGCTTTGACTCTGAGGTCTTTGATCCATTTATAGTTGATTCTGGTGCAAGTTGATATATAAGGATCTAGCTTTAGTTTTCCACAAGTAGTTAACCAATTTTGCCAGCACAATTTACTGAAGAGACTGTCTTTCTTCCATTCTATTTTTGTTAGCTCTCTTATTGAAAATTAGATGGCTACATGTCTTTAGGTTCATTTCTGGGTTTTCAAGTCTATTCAATTGGTCCTGCAGTCTGCTCTTGTGCCAGTACCACTGTTCTTTCTGTTAAAGATTGTTATTGTTATTCGGGGTCTTTTATTGTTCTATATCAATTTTTGGATTGAGTCTTCTATTTCCCTGAAGAATGAAATTGGAATATTGATAGGTATCACATTGAATTTGTAGATAGCCTTGGGAAGTATTGCCATTTTCACGATGTTGATTTTTCCAATCCAGGAGCATCGGAGTTTTTGCCACATTCTAAGTTCTGTTTTGATTTCGTTTTTCAGGTTTTTAAAGTTTTCATCATAGATGTCCTTCACTTGTTTGGTTAATTCCTAGGTATTTTATTTTTTGTGGAGCTATTACGAATGGAGTTGCTTTCCTGATTTCAGCTACCCTTTTCTCATTGTTGGCATATAGAAAAGCCATTGATTTTTGAAGGCTAATTTTATACCCTGATACTTTACGAAAGTTTTGAATCACCTTGAAGAATTTGAGAGCAGAATCCATGGGATTCTTTAAATGCAAGATCATGTCATCTGCAAAGAGGGAAAGTTTTACTTTCTTTTTCCCTATTTGGAACCCCTTGATGTTTGTATCTTTTATTATTGCTGTCGTTAAGCATTCCAATACTGGATTGAAGAGCAATGAAGTGAGTAGGCATCCTTGTCTCGTTCCTGAGTTTAGAGGACATGGCGTTAATTTTTCAACATTGAGCATAATACTGGCTAGAGGTTTTAATATACAGTCTTTATTTTATTGAGGAAGGTTCCATGGATTCCTAGTCTTTGCAGAACCTTCATCACAAAGGGGTGTTGGATCTTGTCAAATGTTTTCTCTGCATCTATTGAGATAACGATGTGGTTCTTATTCTTGCTCTTGTTGATGTGATGAATTATGTTATTTGATTTGTGGATTTCGAACCAGCATTTCATCCCTGAAATGAATCCTGTTTGATTGTGGCATATGATTTTTTGGATGAATTGTTGAAGTTGATTGGCCAAAATTTTGTTGAGAAGTTTTGCATCAATGTTCATCAAAGAAGTGGGTCTATAGTTCTCTTTCTTTGATGAGTCCCTGCCTGATTTTTGGATGAGGGTTATTATAGCTTCATAGGATGAATTTGGTAGTGAACTTTCTCTTTCAATTCCATTTAAAATTTGAAAGAGTATTGGTGTGTGTTCTGCTTTGAATTCCTTGTAGAACTCTGCTGTAAAACCATGCGGTCCTGGGCTTTTCTTAGATGGGAGGTCTCATTGCTGTTTCTATTTCAATGCTTGATATGCACTAGTTAAGATGGTTTAACTCATCTTGATTTAGTTTTGGCATGTTGATATTTGCTAGGAAAAGGTCCATTTCTGCCAAGTTCTCAGACATATTAGCATAAATGTTTGAGAAGTATTCCCTTATGATGTTCTGAATCTTGTTTGTTTCTGTGGTGATATTTCCATTCTCATCTCTGAGTTTATTTATTAGGGTGTATTCTCTTCTTTTTCTGATAAGATTTGCTGGGGGTCTATTTATTTTGTTGATTTTTTAGAAGAATCATCTCTTTGTTTTGTTGATTCTTTCTATTTTTTATTCTAATTCATTTAATTCTGATTTAATTTTAATTATTTCTTTCCTTCT